TCGAGACCTGCAATAAAATCACGATAGACCGATTTATAACTCGTTTCAGCTGGCAATAGTGTAAGCGATTGGGTAATGCGGTTGACGTTTCTACCGGGACTTGGTAATCCATGAATTTCAGTATAATTCTCAAGAAAATTCTTCACGACGGTAGCAACGTTTATATCAATGGTTATTTTGGTTTTTCATCGCGGTACTCTTTTTACATTACCATGAACGCGTGGTATTATACCATTCGCTGCTAGATGGTTTCTGACGTTTTCGAAGTGAGTGCGACCAATTCCTAGCATATTGAGATACGTTTTTTGACAAAGCGGCGTATTGCGATCTCAGTAATAAAATGTTCGTTGATTAGTGCGCGTTTTCCTTTTAAGACGTCGACTGGCAGTTATTTCTCCGCCATTCATTGCTTTCAACTGGGCCATTAAAAATATATCTTGTTCAGATCTAGAGAGCGCTTGAAACGCTTCACGTAATTCAGCAAACCTCTCTCTCGAAATCTTTTTTGAACAACCACAATTGCAACCTATCTCCAAGAAACGCATGGCTTTTTCATATTCAGTTGAACCATTATAATTATAAATTTCCATATACGGGTATTCCTATATATATATATTTTTGATAATGTTCATTCGTCAAAAGCAGATCTCGTTTTATTTGGCCAGGGAAACATTTACACTAAATAGTGATAACTAAATTGAGTTCATCTTTCCCAACTTGTAATAGAGGCATTTCTCTTCTATTATTAGGTTATCGCATAATACACATATACTACAATTCCTCCGTCAACATTATATGCCTTGTAATGTCCAATCTAACTCAGACAGAAAGAGAATCTGCAAACCCAAGTATTAAAGCCTAATGTCGCAATACATCACTTCTTTTTCATATCTTCTATAATCCCGGCAATAATGCAAGACACGTGTCGGACCGAATTCTTTGTAGGTAGACCATTATTATCAAAGTATATAGGCTCTATGCACTCTTTCACACTGTCGCTGTCAAGTTTGTTAAAGTACCACTGGGCTGAATTTGTCACTATACCATAAATATGCGACTGACGTCCGCAATTTATCTACAATTGTTAAAGAAACTAAATTTTAGTAATAAAATTATATTGAGGGGGAAAAGAACGCCCAAATCGCTGCGGCATTAAAAGCCTCGGACATGGAAGTTGGTCTTACCTCGTATCCAACTTCACATTCCACATAATTTTGAGCTCTTCCCATAGCAAAATCGTCCGCCTTCGCTTCAAGTAAAAGTATGATTTTTTCCTTAACCATTATCACATACTCCACATTGTCATTCGCAGGAACTTCGATCCCATTCAACTCTTGTTCAAGAAAAATTTTGACATCGCCTACATGTTCTAAGACAATAATTTCAGAAAAGCCTTGATCAAGAAAAGACATGTGGAAAGTCTTGGTGCCTTACCAGCAATTCTAAACAAGAACACGTCAATAAATCTCTCTCGCTTTCTCTCTTTTCCTGAAGCCATCGAACCCAACAGAGTCACTCGCGCCTATTGGTTTAATGCCATCAAAAACATAACACGTTTCCCTAATCAATTTCCAGCTTGCTCTAAACCTTGCTTTGCAAACTACAAAATTCAATTGAACACTTGCCGTTAATTCCTCGAAGGTTTTATCCACCAAAGTATCAGGCAGCGTTACAGATGGTGGTTCAAATCTATCAGGTCCAAATTGATCCAATCCAAACGCATCAAATACTCTAGTAGAAGCCTTGCCAAATTCACTGAATGCTAATTTCCCATCAATTTTCTGTTTTTTGTTGCTTTCTGCGATTTCTATTAACTTTTCAATTCGCCTTTTCCGTCCCACAGATGCAGTACTAGAAATCGAATCTGAGAGAGAGGAACGACCTTTCATCCGAAGTAAAAATAATCATGCGGTCAAATAATATGCATAAAAACATTGATAAACATAACGGAAATGTAAAGCAAAAGTATAGGCAAGCAAATGTTAATTTTTCATAACCAAGTCATTACTTGTCGGCGGTGTTGTCATATCACGAAGCTTCTCATTCCACTCGAAAACTTCCTTTTCCCAGTCATCTCTCCTTTTTTCCAGCTTCTCTTTCTCCTTCTCTAGCTTCGCCTTCTCCTCCTTCCACTTCTTCTTCTCTTCTTCGTCTTCATATTCCTTCTTCAGTAGCCTTCCCCTCAACGTCTTCAGCAGTTCCCCTTGCGCCACGCCTCCTTCGAACGCCATCACCGCAGCCTTTACGTCATCAAGCTCCTTCTCCGCCTTCACCAATTGTTGTTCGATTCTCGCAACGTTTGCCATTTTTTTCTTTAGAAAGAGAAGAGTGCTGCGCGTGATGTGATCTAATATCGTAATATACTAGTGGCTTAATAATGACGTAAGTATTACAAACAAAATTTACATCAAACAATTTTCATAAATTACGCTTTGCGAAAATGTAAGGAGCAATTTTCTCTCCTTGAACTTTCTTTAGAATGCTTCTAATGGTGCTGTAATTTCTTGGTTCCATAGTGAATTTAATGTAAATTAGTTTCATATACTTTATTTTTATATAGAGGTAGTCCTATATTACTCACATTATGATTTATATTTATCACATTCTGGTATGATAAAGAGAATATTAAAATTAAGTTATAAATGCACCATTATTACTTTCAAAATATCATAGTCATTCTGGTCAATTTTACAGTCACATCATAATCAGCTCTTATTTATGTCACATAATCAAATATTTACTTTGTCTGGTTTTGTTGCAGTCTGTCTCATATTATTGAACCAGATTAGAAACTTGCTCAGCTTGTATTTCTATAACTTGCACCTATTGACCAACTTAAATCAGTTTTCACTAGAGAAGAACTTGGATAATCTAGTTGAGAAATAGCTGAATTTGAATCTATTAACCATCAAGAAGCTTATATCTATTTCTTGGAACAAGAACAAGAAGAGAAAGTTATTGAATAACAAAAATTAATTGCTGAACAAGAAAGATTTCTTACTCAATTATTGGAAGATAATACTGATATTTTTGCAACTAAATTACATGAACTTGACCAAAGTAATATAATTCAACATGAAATACATACTGGAAATGAATCAACTATTAAACAATAATCTTATAGAACTACTCTTCCAGATTAGTTATTCATATCAGAAGAAATTCAAAGAATATTAAAAGCAAATATTATCTAACCATTAACTAGTTCTTGAATTTCACTTATTGTTATAATTTTCAAAAAGAATAGAAAGAAAAGATTTTGTGTTGATTACTGAAAAATAAATGCTATTACCTAAAAAGATACTTATCCATTACCAAGAATTGATGAAATAATGAA